AAGGTCTTATTTGAAATTTCCAAAGTAGGCTTCAAAATAGCCCAAAGCAAAAATTTCTGTAGTCTTGTGTCATTTTTCTAATGTGTTATAGCAAAATAACATTTCTGCTTACGAAATCAGCCTCCAGAATTGTTGATATTTATTTTATTATTGTTAAAAGTGAGGTTTTATTTTGTAAGTGAAACGAGCGTAGAGAGTTGGGCAATCACAACTCGAAATGAAACTCACTTTTAATACAAATATCATATAAAGTTTTTTGTACAACTGTCCTGTCTTCATAAAAAATTCATAAATTTGATATTTCTATGAAAACACATTTTGACATATCTTGTCAGTTAACTATTTTCATGTTATCGCATTTGCTGTGAAGTGGCCGTGTCAAGTAACGCCGAATCACCTGGTTACCAACAAACAGTATTGTTTTCAGCTCATGCGTTTTATTTAGTCACATTTGAAGTTCTTGCTGGTGTCAAACGCTTGCATAATGAAGAACAATAGTGAGGAATTGTGTGTTCCTGACGATATTAAAGAGGCTGCAAAACAAGCTTCAATTGAATTGTTACCAACAAAATTGGCTCAGCAGAACGACACCTCTTATTCTAATTTCCTTAGCTGGTGTAGACTCAAAAGACGGAAATTTCAGCGAAGCCGTCTTCTTAGCCTATCTAGTAGAGAAATAAAAAATACGGAAATACGGAAAAACTATATTAACGTCAACTGCAGAATGAAGTTCAATCAATTTATTACGCCAAAATGTCCGCTCTCATGGTAATCAGACCTCCAAATCACTAAACCAAAATCTACGAAAAATCGAACACAAACCACTAAAAAGCAATTAATAACTTTCTCAATAATAGTAATGATGATTAAGACTCCATTAATGTCAACTGCAGAATAAAGTTTAATCAGTTTATTACGCCAAAATGTCTGTTCTTATGGCACGTCAGATCTCCAAACACTGAACCAAAATTTATGAAATATCAAACATAAACTACTGAAAAGCAATTTATAACTTTCACAATAATAGTGATGGCAAATCAGACCTCCGAAACACAACCAAAACCTACGAAATATCAAAAACGAACTACTGAAAAGCAATTAATAACTTTCTCAATAATAGTAATGATGATTTAGACTTCATTAATGTAAACTGCAGAATGAAGTTTAATCAGTTTATTACGCCAAAATGTCTGTTCTTATGACAAAATAGATCTCCAAACACTGAACCAAAATCTACGAAATATCAAACATAAACTACTGAAAAGCAATGTATAACTTTCACAATAACAGTGATGATGATTTAAACTTCATTAACGTCAACTGCAGAATGAAGTTCAATCAGTTTATTACGCCCAAATGTCCGCTCTCATAGTACATCAGACCTCCAAAACACTAAACCAAAATCTACGAAATATCAAACACGAACTACTGAATTTTACTAAGGAAAGGAAGGGTTTTTCGCTGCTTGATAGTTGTTTATCGCGCTGACTTCTTCTAAACCTCCATTGATCTAGTATTTCACACTGCCATAGGGCATAATTAGCTACGAGTCTTTCTACTTCAAATTACTAGATGAAATTCAGTGGATTAGTTATCGAAACTTCCGAAATACTACAGTATTCGAATGATAGTGTTCTCACCACACCAAAACAAAAGTACCGACCTTCAACACACGATTCATTAACAAAGTTGGCATCATCAGGAGAAGACTAAAACATTGTCCAGTTGTACTTAAAGAGTTCAACCTTAGTTTGTTCTATTTAGTTTCAAGTCAACTTCTGACCTAATTAGCGAAACGCACGTCAAGAGGCTTTCATCAGATTCATTTTACGTCAAAGGTTCGAATTCTACCTATTAACTGAAGTATGTGAGGAGAACAAGAACATAGATTCAGGTACTTGGCAGAAGTCATGATTAGAGAGCGAAATCCGAAGTCTAAGTAGTGAAAATTCGTTACTGAGACTTCCCGATATAACTTTTATCGTCACACTTTTATCGGCCTACTAGCCTGGATTTTGTTCTTTTTTATTATGGTTCATAACAATACATTGATTTGGAAAAACGGTATCGCTCCAAATCTTCAAACAATTCAGTTTCATACGTCACTTTAGCATATTAAAAATATTCGTTTTTGATAACATATTCAGGATTTATAAAATGTATGTTTTCATGTATCTCAATAATTTATAGCATTCTATCAAAAATAACAGTTCTATAATCTCGTCTCTGATTTTGTCAACTGAATTTTGTATTGTGGTTACATAATCAAAAATTGTACCCTTAGTTATTGAGAGACTCCTGTATACTCACTATTGATGTCCGATTCTACAGATCCCCTTTCTTTATCGGACCAACTTCGATTTACGGAAGAACTGCTTATGATCGTTTCCAAACCTCCTTCTTCTATGGTATCTTGGAGAGACTTCTGAACAGAACCATTAATATGGATATTTTCTTCACCGGTAACATAAAATACACATTTTATATGAGAAGGTAATGTTGAAATCTCAATGTCTTTGAAATTCAAATAATGAACTCATGAGAATTTGATATCTTTCAACATAGCTTTTAAGATTTCCACAAAACTACTGACTAAACCCATACGCATCCTCTCTGTAACATAAATATGACGGGTAGAGTCAAGGAAAATCATACCACTACTCAGTATTTATTGTAAAGTACTGAATGAAATGATACTGATAACCTGGTGGAAATTTGATCAAGGGGTTGAAAAAGGTATTCTGTTTTTTCAGGAAAGCATTATGTAATACAGGAATGTACCCCACTGCTATACTCCATAGCAAAACTGTGATAATCCCCTTCACCGGGAGAAGAAAATTGGACGATCTAACGCCACTTTCCCTCAATGGTGAGGTCATTCCATTTGGAACTGAGGTGAAATATCTCGGCATTGTCCTTGATAAAAGACTCACCTGGAACGCTCACTTGGAAAAAGTTTTACACAAAGCCAGACTGTCTTTATGGACATGTCGAAGGATTTGTGGTAAAACTTGGGGTTCGGTTCCCAAACAAATCCGTTGGATGTATGTGATGATTGTCAGACCAATGATCACTTATGGTGCAATTGCCTGGTGACCGAAGGCTTCACAGAAAATGCGGCACAGAGGCGAAGCTCTCTGGCTTACAGATACAGGCTTGTCTGGCTATCAGTGGTGCCATCAGTACCACACCATCAGCGGCCATGAAGATCCTTCTAGATTTACCTCCTCTCCACATTTTTTTGGAGAGAGAAGCTAGATGGACTGCATACAGACTTGTGCACATTGCCAATTACACAAATCAATTTAATGCAAAGTGCAACAGACTGCTGGCTGACACAGCATTCTGGAAATAACCTCTGACCTTATGCCTCCAACTGTCAACTACGAACTATCTTATAAAGTACTGTCACCGAGTAGAGAGGACTGGATCCTCCGGGAGAAGGAAATATTAAGACCAGATAGTTGTTGGTTCACAGATGGATCAAAAACACCTTTCGGTTCTGGTGCAGGTGTTTTCAGTCGCAGACCCAGGACAGAGATTTATACCTGCCTAGGAACCTATGCGACTGTATTTCAAGCGGAAATTTACACTATTGAATTGTGTTCAGAGAGACTGGAAAAATCCAACCTTATATACAACTCAATAAAAATATTTTCGGACAGTCATGCGGCGTTGGAACTCTTGGCTCCTACCGAGCAACGTCTACATTGATAGCAAATTGCCAAAAGCGACTCTCCTCGATAGGAAGACTTAAAAGATTGTGTCTGGTCCGGATTTCTGGGCCATACTGGCCTGAAAGGCAATGAGGCTGCTGACTCTCTTGCAAAGGAGGGTGCTGCAAGCAGCTTCATCGGACCAGAACCTGTCATTGGCATCGCTTTTGGCTTTGCCAAACAAACATTGAACACCTGGATGGCAAGAAGATTTATGGACTTCTGGGAGAACCTTCCAGGATTGGCTCACTCCAAGGCGTTTATTCACTCTTCCAAGCTTGATACCAAACAATTGTTTGACTACAGTAGATATGAACTACGTTGCCTAACAGGCCTTCTTACAGGTCACTGTCATTTGAATCATCGTATACAATACCAAACAGTTGGACTACAGTGTGGATGAACTACGATGTCTAACAGGCCTTCTTACAGGTCACTGTCATTTGAAACATCATATGCAGAGACTCGGAGTGTCGGAAGACAGTGTGTGTCGCCTCTGTTTGGAAAATGACAAAACAACAGAGTATATACTTTGTGCCTGCCCCGCTGGGGACCGAATCAGGTTTTTAGAGTTCGGCAGAGCCGTACTTTTAACATCTGACCTGAAAGACCACTCACCATACAAACTAATCGGCTTCGTTAAGAAGCTGAGTTTATTTGGTCGAGTGTGAATAGGTCTGAGCCACAATAAACCCTTGCGGTGGAGGGTCGATTATATCCACTTACTTTAGACCTAATCTAACCATACATAACCATAATTCATTTAACTACGATACTAATTTTTGTAGCAGGTCATATAAATGAACAGTCTTATTTCCAACACTAGGTTGTAAACATCTACACATACTCATGAGTAAACGAAAACTCAAACAATTGAAAGAGAAAACAGGATAACAAAAATAAATATAGCACAAACAAGTCATATCACAAAGAAGCTAACAATATCGTAAAAATTAAACAAGAATTCTTCAATAGCAAGATTAACAAGTAACATTCTCTTCTCATATAATTATATACAACTATAATACCAAAAATTATTTTATAAAACGACTCCATTTTAAATGACAGCAATCCGGGATACTGAAATTAGATGAGTTCAAAATATGAATTATTTTATAAATATTTTCCTACACTGTAAAACATCAAAATTTGAAATATTGTTTCATTCTGATTTTGAACTGATTAAAATTATGACTTCTTAAGTTTGACGGAATTTTATTACACTACATGGGCTGAAAAGTCTCAGGCCTAACAAATAGATGACGCTAATCTAATCGCATTCACTGATTTTTCAGTTAGTACTCACTTTCAGAAGAAATCTGTTGAAATTTCATGATATTCTACTCATAATTTTGTGAGATATTGTGCTGAGAGTGACACTACTGTTTTTATTTTCAAAACAATGGGCCAAAAACAATTTCGAATTTCAATTTTAAACTGCTTCTCGATGGGATAAAAATACCGTTCAAGAGAAGCAATGGTTGGAAAATATAAAAAAACTCCGGTCTATCAGAAAAACAATTAAACGTTGGTTTGTTGACTTCAAACGTGGTCGTGGAGACACCGATGATGCAGAACGCAGTGGACGTTCAAATGAGGCAGTAACACCAGAGAACATAAAAAATCCACAAAATCGTTTTGAATGATCGAAAAATGAAGTTGCCTGAGTTAGTTGACATTGTAAGGATAACAAAAGGACGTGTTCACTCCGGAATCAAAACGATCGTCATCTGAGTGAAGAGCAACTTGAGGCAAAAGATAAATCGTTCTACAAAACTGTTATTGAAATGTTAGAGCGGCGATGGAATGATAAACATCTTCGTTAAAAATCTGTTTCATCTGCCTCAGATGAAAAATATGGGACGGTGTCTCCAAAACTATCACTTGGTAATATTTCATCATCTAGGCTTGACTTCAATTAAATTGTTTCGAACAGTTCTCATGCCAAACAACGAAAACTGTGTATCTGGGACACATCTTCTGGAAAGTACAATAATCGCGATGCAAAAAATAAAGCTGGGAAAGAAAGAGCTCAGATATTACTGCGGAATTTCATTAATCTTTATGGCACATCGCAAAGAGAAGCACAGGAGAAATTGATAATTCTATTATAGAGCCCATAAACAGTAGTTATTTCAGTTTGTGTGGATCTTACCGCAAATTTGAATTGAACCTAAGGAAGGCACCTTTAATTGGTCTATCTAATCATAGAGGATGCATATTGAATTGTCTTCAATATCTTAAGAAACATTGAATATTCATGAATAGGGATTAGCTGAATTAACTGAAGATACAAATATAATGGAATACGAAACAAGAAAACACAAATAATCAAAACGGGCAGTTAACATGTATTCAATTATAAATAATTGAATAGGAAAAAATGAGCAGAATAATCAATAAGGGCTATCATTCGAATGTCAAATTATCAATATTTAATTTAAAAATATTTCGATGATTCTAGCTATATGGTAAACATATATTTCTGTATTTTCAATTTAATTCATTGAATACTTTACCCAAAACTTCAGGTTTCCAACTTCAAAACTGACTAAATTCAATATAATCTTTGAACCCCTATTTTCCCTCTTGGGGGTGGACATTCCTGATTTCCTTTCTTGATGCTTATTTACGCTATACAAAGAACCTACCTGAATATTTCAAAATTCTAGGTTCAGTAGCTGCGGCTGAACGTTAATATAAGAGCGGGCAACAGCTAGTAATTTATATTTTTACTCTGAAAATACAGTAAATAAAAATTTGTCAACTGCAATAAGTAATGAATAGCTTCGAGAATCGAATTATATTACCTATAAAGAAATTACGAAAGAAAAACAAACGTCAACGACGTCTGCTCTCACGCGTCTTCCCCCTTTTGTGTCACGTTCTCGGCGATGGCGCTTCATTGTTCAGACCACCCCTTTACTTCCGCGCATCGTCCCCTGTCGTCTTACAGTAGACGCGTCGCGTAATGGCTTACTGCGTTGCGTCAAATTAATCTTATTGTGATAAATTTTGAACGATTCGTCCAAATAACTTAGTGTAATAGACGAAGTTTAACTATATTAAATACTTAAAATGACAATTTTTTCAATTTTAATAAGAAATTGACTGGTATTCTGAAATGTCCATTGTAATTTTATTTATGGCTCAGAATTTTGCATGTAGTGGCTACCACATAAAATCTAGACATATGATATCGCTGAATTTTATGTAGAACTATTCAAGATAAACAATGGGGAATGTTCTTCAATTTGGGTTATTACAGCAAATGCAAGTTTGAACAAAATAAAGTTGAGTTTAATTCATGAGTTTTTCAAATTCACTTCGAAAAATATTCAAATTGATGTTTCAAATGTTGGGTTTTATTTTTGAAGGGATTTGTTTCTAATTCACATATTGGCAACATCGCCTAGGTATATCAAGTTGAAATAATTTATACGTACCTAGATATTCTACTTTAAAAAAGGAACATTATCTTTATAAATCAAAATTTGAGGCAAAATATAAATTATAGTTCAATACCACCTCCACAAGCCACATAAACAAGAGTTGTTCTGTTATTTATTTATATAAAGGAAGATAGGTTAGGTGCACAAAATGTCATATGTCACAGAATGTTTCGGAACTCGGAACATAGGTAAACAGAATAGCACGCCTCTGAAATATGTCATCTTTGTTTGTCTCATACAGGTAACCGATTCATTGAACTTTATTAGTTATAACCGATGTTGCCGAATGGTGAAATAGAAACAAATCCCTTTAAATGTTGAATGCATTATTTCATTCCTCTTTCTCAAGAATTTAAATAATTATTTGAAGAAAAAGGTTGAAATGATAAGTTTAAAATGCGTTGTTTTAGAGCTCTTTTATAAACTACGGAACTCGGAACATAAGTAAACAGAACAGCACGCCTCTGAAATATGTCATCTTTGTTTGTCTCATACAGGTAACCGATTCATTGTCCTTTATTAGTTATAACCGATGTTGCCGAATGGTGAAATAGAAACGAATCCCTTTAAATGTTGAATGCATTATTTCATTCCTCTTTCTCAAGTATTTAAATAATTATTTGAAGAAAAAGGTTGAAATGATAAGTTTAAAATGCGTTGTTTTAGAGCTCTTTTATAAACTACTTGATTTTCGTCAGGAGGAACATTCCCCATTTTACGGTACATTATCTGTATGTAACTCCAAAGGTATAGGCAGCATACGTCAAGATAGCTCTGAAGGAGTAAGAATTTTTCCGACTGACTCAATACTCATCGTTATATCATGAACAAAATTTCACGAAACCTTTGCAAATTGTAGCCTATATGTTATTCTGATGTATAAGCTGTATTTATGTAAAGTTTCATCCAAATCTGTTGAGTTGTTTAGGCGTGAAAAAGCCACAAGCATACGCACATACATAATACATACATCCATCCTCACAAACTTTCACATTTATATTAGTGTAGAAGTATAGATTATTTTCACGCTCATTAGAAAACGATCATTGGTCTTTTGTGAAACGGGTCCTGTAGTGGAATACAGATTGGTGAAAAACACAAAATAAAGTGTTGTTGAACACGTTGATCATGGTGTTCATCAAGCATAGGCAAATTCGACTGCTATTGGAATAAGCAGCATATGAAGATCGTTGCATTGTTTACACGCATGTTTTTCACCAACAAAACTATATTTTCTCTCCTATACACTTGAATCAAACTACGAATATATACCTGAAAGAACTCTTTCATTCTTTGGCGGTTCATTTCCTTTGGTTTGTGTTTTTCCTTCTTTTTGTTCTGTTTTTTTCAAGTCTTCATCCGAAGGATTTTCATCGGATGATTCTTCTTCATCACTTGCATCACCGTTTTCATACGCATTCAACCCAAATTTTGTTTCTCCTTCTGATCCATCCATTGCTATTATGAATAATATATATTTTGATTCGACTTCATTCAATCATGAAAATTCTGGTTGATACTGACAGAAATGACATTTTGATAATGACACACAAATAATTCATGGCAACATAAAATTTCACTCGTGTGCTCGACTCATATACACTGCGACCTTAAATAGTGCTCTCCTCTCCTAACTTTGGAAATCAAATTAACCGTTTCCGAGTAATAAGCAGTTTCATATTCGATTCAGGAATCCACAAACAAACTATGAATAGCATAATTTCAGGAAAAATGATTCACAACACACTTCAGTTGATTCCATCAGTGATAACATCAGCCCCTGATCTTCCAGAGGATTCTCATCCTCCGAAATTAAAAAAACGCAAAACAATAAAATAAGACAAGTTACTGACAAACAGCGCATTTTCTGTACGAAAAAACATTGGATGTATGTAGTAACATCCGGCTGAAATAAGAGTTTGCCCTTTTCACATACGTGAACAGTTCTCCACTTAAACTTTAATTTTTTTCAGATTGTCAATGGTGACAATCTCCCAAAAAATCCACATAATAGCATTGCGGGCCCACTGAGTTCCGAATACTTTAGATTTTAAGTAATCCCATAGACAAAAAACGGAAGGTGTTAGATCTGGTGATTTTGGAGGCTGTTCCACAAATCCTCGGCTCCGATTCTTCGTCCTTCACAAACAGTATTCAACATATTCCTCACATCAACTGTAAAATGAGCAAGTGTCCCATTTGTTGCAAAATAATCTCCATATCAAATTCGTCCACATTATTTTCGATAGTTTCTGAATGTGAAACTTCGAGACCATTGAAAGTTCGTGAGCATGAACATCGAGAAATTGACAAATAACAGGATCAAAAACGTAAGAACACATTGTGAAATCAGACAGTTAGTATCGAGTTGAATGTAACAGGATGAGAATGATTGCCAATGAACCCCACTCTAAGAGACGTAAACTTAAAGAATCAGCGTATATTATCTTATCTGGAGAGAAGTGTATTTCGAACAGCTCTTTTGAAATGGAAAGTACTTGGCTACCCCTTTTGGAGAAAAATATGGTTATTGGCGGATTAGTAACAGAATAATATCAGAGACTACCTTATATTTCATCGAGTGTTCCAGAAATCGACAGAGATCGACACTGATATAATCCACAATTCAAAAACTCCTTTGATATCTGTCGAAAAAGTTGGTGAATAAAATTAATCAGTAGAGGTAAAACTGCGTTTGAATATGAAATTTGTCCATTTCTGAAGACGAAGGCAAATTTGAGTATTATATAAAGATGAGTATTGAAAAATTTCTTAGCTCTTTTTTTTGATAAACAAAATTATTGAATAGGACAAGTAACTGATGAATAGGAGTTTTTCTTCGTGAAAAAAACTTCAAATTCACGCAGTAACTGAAAAGTTTGCCTTTTCTACACGTGTATAAGGTTCTCCATTAATTACAATTTCCATATTTTTCAGGTTGTGGAAGGTGAAAATACCCAAAGAAGGTCGTTAAAAATGTTTTTCCACCACAAAAGTAACTTATGCGAACCTAACATTTTGTAGGTACGTGTGGAAGATACCCGACAGAAAAACAGCAACTAACCCAGCTAATTCAGCGCAGAAAGCTGAAGTTAAACAATCAGGCAACTTTGCATTTGAAAGATTCGTGGCAAGTAACATACAGAGTGGTCCAACGAAAAGTATGCACCTTGCTTTTCTCCTTTTTTTGTAACTTAACGCAAAAATTCTCGGACAGGTCAATTTTGCTTTTGAGAGGGACACATTCTAGATGTATTTTTCTACCTGCGCCTTCAACCCCCTAGCGAGGGTGAGTAACAACTCTAAAATTTTAAATGGAAAGTGGGGTCGAGTGATATATCATTTGAAAGGGCACAAAATTATCTTTCCAATGATGCCAAATTTGTTGTATTCACTCAACCATGTAGGTATTATGAAGAAAAACAACTACAACCCAGTACTTTGAAAGGTGTAATTGACTTAGTAGAATCCTATTTCAGCAAGTGCTGAAAATGTGACCCATTTGCTTCCATACAATAATACAGATTTTGTTCAAATTTATTCCTAACATTCTGTAGCATGTCAGGTGTTATACTTCTGCACTCTGCTATAATTCGTTGGCGAAGTTCTTCTATGGACTCGGGCTGCGTAGCAAAACATTGATAAAAAGTCTAAAGGCGATAAATCAGGTGACCTGGCAGGCCATTCGATGGGGCCTCTCCTTCCAATCCACCGTCCAGGAAACCGGTCATCTAAAAACTCTCTTACCGGAGCAACATAATGAGGAGGTGCTCTATCTTGCTGGAAATGAAACCGATCATCATTATGATTTTGGTAATTTTCAATTATTTCTGTTATGAGAGGATCAATTGTATCTTCAAGCATGTTCTGGTAGACCTCACCAGTTAATGAATCGAAGAGGTTTTTGTATTGAAGTGTATAATTTTCAAAATTCTTGCAAAGCGCTTTCGACTTTCGTCATCATCAGTGCCAGTGAGCTTGGCAAGAATTTTAAAAATTATACACTTTAATACAAAAACTTCTTCGATTCATTATTTCAAATAAGTGTATTCAGCTTTTCCTAATCTTCTCACCAGTTAAATTCCCAGGAATAAAAAGTGGCCCTACGATATGACTACCTAATATGCCACACCAGACATTGATGTTTTGAGGGTACTGGGTATGGACCTCTCGGAATAAGTGTGGGTTACTGTCATCCCAGTAACGGCAATTATGCCTATTCACAGCTAAATTAAAAAAAAATGTACTCTCATCGGAAAAGCACGTGTTGAATGATAGGTGCGGATCATCAATTAGTAGCTGGCTCAGTTGTTCACAAAATTGCAGCCTTTTATCAGGACTGTACTAATTCAATTTTGTACGGATGAAATTTATAGGCTTTTAATATACGTATTATGGACAAACAGGAGACACCTAAGGCTGCAGCAAGCTGACGGGTATTTTGAGTATGATCCAATTCAACATGTTCCAAAAAAGCGACTTCCACTGCTTCATTTCTGGTCGGTTTCCGTGGCTGGTGTTTCATATTACAGATAGATCTGGTATCGACAATCTTTTGGACTAACTTGGCAACGTACGAATCATTCACATTTTTCCAGGGATGACTGTTATTAAAGAGACGAGCAGTAAGTCTAGCACAACTGTTATGTTGATAATAAAGTTTAACAATTTCAACTAGTTCAGGAATGGAATAAACCATTTTTATAGTAAAGTTGTAATAATTTCAAAAGCAACCAAACTGAATCAATGAACGTTTGCCTAAATTCTTTTTGTACACTTATCTGATGTTGTTATTTGAACCAAAAACGCACGAGAGAAATTGAGGAATGTAGTAGTGACAAAAATACCGTTTTTTCCGCATTTTCATTAACACCAAAAATATCGAGTAAATGTTCTTGTTTTTTTATAACTATTCAAGTAAATACAACAAATTAGGTCATTGAAAAGAGAATTTTGTGCCCTTTCAAATGATATATCACTCGACCCCACTTTCCATTTGAAATTTTAGGGTTGTTACTTACCCTCGCTAGGGGGTTGAACGCACAGATAGAAAAATACATCTAAAATGTGTCCCCCTCAAAAGCAAAATTGACCTATCCGAGCATTTTTGCGTTGAGTTACAGAAAAAGGAGAAAAGCAAGGTGCATACTTTTCGTTGGACCACTCGGTATATAACATATATTGGTATCGTATCGGTGAAATGTACTCTATACTGATATTATAAATGTGAAACTTTGTGAGTCTAAGCAATGAAGCGTCATCACCAAAAACGCGACCCGAACGGGTAGACGCGTGAGGGCAGACTACGTTGACGGTTGTGTTAGTTTGACGAAATTTCTCCATAGGTACCATAATTCGGTTCTCGAAGCTATTCATTACTTAGTGCAGTTGGCCTATTTTTTCGGTTATGTAAAATATAAATTACTAGCTGTTGCCCGCGGCTTCGCCCGCATAGAATTTGGTTTGTCACATTGAGTTATGTGACAGACCATTTTGAACAAATCTGCCTGTTCTGTTTTTCCGTTAACCAGCTGTCGCACCCTTACGAACGACAACCCTCAGAAGTCGAAACTTGTGCAAGCTAAGGATTAACGAGGTCATACTTTTCAACGTGTGATTCCTAACACTCACTTCCTAATACTTACAATATTTTTTTATCAAACCAAAACTTCAGGTTTCCAACTTCAAAACTGACGAAATTCAATACAATCTCTGAACCCCTATTTTTCCCTCTTGGGGTGGAAATTTTCCCTTTCTTGATGCTTATTTACGCTATTCAAAAAACCTACCTGCATATTTCAACATTCTAGGTTCAGTAGCTTCGGCTGTACGTTAATATAGTGTCAGTCAATCGATGCGTACCCACTTATACAATAGTAGCTGCTCTCCGCTGTTTTACCCGCGTTACCGGTGGAACCTACCCTATGTGTTATTCCAGGTCATGTTCTATCTATATACTAACTTACATTGCAATCCGTTGAGCTGTTTAGGCGTCGCATTTATACTATTATATATCAATAATATAGACAGGAAAATACTATATTCTCCAGTAACTCTATATGCAGATGATATTAGTTTGGTGATATCTACCAAAATAACGAATGAATTAACATAAAATGTGAATATACTCTGGATGTAGTTTCAAGTTATTTCAATAGTCACGACCTGATTTTCAATGTGAAAATAACACAATTAATCCGCTTTCACAACTATCAGAATAAAACTGATGATATTCAGGTGTTTGTTAATGACTCTATTTTGAGAAACACCCATGATGCTGTTGAATTCCTAGGCATTCAAATGGATGAGAGTCCTTCTTGGAATGAGCACTGTGATCAACTAGTTTCAAAATTGAGCACTATAACCTATCTTTTCATTAACTTGAGAAATGTTCTCAATATAAACCAACTTATGGCTGCAACTTATGGGCAACTCTGCAAAGAGTAAAAATGTATTTATCCAACAAAAAACTATCCTACGCTGTTTGTGTAACATTCCTCGACAGTATTCATGCAGAAACGTTTTTGTTACACACGAAATTTTAAC